GCTGACTACACCTGCCGACCTGGTGCTGCAGGTGAGCTGCTGACTACACCTGCCGACCTGGTGCTGCAGGTGAGTTAGCTGTCATGAATGCGCGCGATTTTCTCGCGATTTTCTTGCAAATTTCGCGATTTTCTTGCAACGCAAATGAATTTTATCGGTTACTTTTTTATTATAGTCCAGTGAAAAATCGACCTGGTGTGTCAAAATTTTGCTTTCTCCACCGAGGAAATTGTTTTGATTGTTTGAGATGGATTCTCGCAAAATTTCTTTACACGGCACCTGCTATTGTTTGCAACCATGCATTCTCCAGGATTTTTATGGTGGGTTTAAATAATTAAGTAATTATTCTGGGTTTAACTAATCAATTAATTATTCTGGGTCTAACTAATTGAGTAATTATTTACACTTTCATAGTCTGGTACCGAAGTGCTCTTGGAAGTCATCTACCAATCCCTCGTACCAGGATGCTGCTACATCAGCTACAACTCATAAGCATATTGTTCAATGAGTTTTGCACATTAAACTCCTTGCACTTTTTTTAGGATGTACAGTCCATTTTTTTATTGTAAAACTTTTACCAACGTGGTCATGTTCAACGAGTGTAGCACAATAAACTCAGTGCACTTGTTTTCTTCAGATGCGCGGGGCGCTCGAGCTGAGCACCTCCCCCTCCTCCCCGTGGTTGATGTGGAGCGTGGGAGGCGTGGGCCGTCCAAGGGCGTCGCACACCTCGCCTTTAGCCTCTAACCTGACAGGTTCGCCAACGCTTCATCTCTTGTAGTAAATTTCTATCTATAACCTCCAGCCTGACGAAGGCAAATGCTCAATTGTCGCAGTCAGTTTTCTGGTCTTGGCCTGCGTCGGTTGTACGTGTGGCTTATTTGATTAACCTCTGAACCATTCGTTTTATTTTAGATACATTTTTCTAAGTCAAAATATAATTAGGCTCTGTATGAGCTGCTTTTATTTACAAACTCATTAATGATTATAATGTTGAGGTAATATTGAGTGAGTCATTGGGGTGTGTGTATGACTGTGTGTGGTGCCAGCAGGTAGAGGACCTCCTGACACTGGTGTGTGTGTATGTGTGTGTGTGGTGCCAGTAGACAGAGGACCTCATGACACTGGTGTGGTCCTAGATGCGGGTAGCAGGAGCAGCGTGGGCAGGGACCTGCTGCTGATGTTCTTACCAGGTTCGGCCTCGCTGTACTACGGCGACGAGATCGACGTCTCCGTGCCCTCGCACTTGCAGGTGCTCACGCTAGCGCTGGACTGCGGTCTTACTCGTCCTCTGTACAAAGATATGTTATCGCAACAGTTTTTTTCATCAGTAAATATTAAAATTTAAAGTACAAATTTATCAAATTTTTGCATCATTTGACGATTTTTGAAAATGTGATCACATTTACAATGCTTGAATTAATCAAAGCTTTAGCATAATTCAAATATTTTCTTATTTCTCGAAGTCCCGGCAGTAAATTCTAATTTGCTTGCCGATGTAAATGTTGATTCAAATCATTAATACTTTCTTGCTTCTCATTCCTAATGACAGTGATTAGACTATCGTCAGCATAACGTTTAATAAAAACATCAATTGGCTGTACGTATTGTTTTAAATAAGAGTTTAATTCACTAACAGTCGCTGGATTGGGCGGGCATTATGGCGTGGTCTGGCAGCAACGAAGCAGGGTTCAGCAGCCACCCCCCGTGGCTGGCGCTGGGCGGCCTCCACAAGTCCTACAACGTCGAGGCGTTGCGTCTGTCGTCCATCGCGTCCGTGTCCGCCCTCGCCGCCCACAAGCGCACTGAGGTCAGCTGCTAAGGACAGTTTACTGCGCGGCTAAAAGTCTTGAGCGTGCGACTGTATGCGTTTTTTTCATGTTCTACGTTTATGATTTTTTTATTACCATAGTTCTGAGCTTTTTATCATTTTTAAATGTTGTTCATCAAAATGAATATTTACATGAGAAGTATGTATAAATGAAACAATTGTTGAAAAGATAAGGTAAAATTTTGTTTTAAGCATGTAAAGTACTTAACTGGTTTATGCCACTTTCACTAGCTTCCCCCTGATTTTTTTTACTTTCAACTTAGTTTCCTAAGTTTTGAGGCAACAGGAAATCGCACGGAGTTTAAAGTAGGTAATGATTCAAGTTTTGTGCAGCCTCCGCTGTACATCAACGGGCTGTTCAACTTCGAAGGCGACTACCATCCTACGCACGCCAGTAATTTAAAGGTTAGGGCACAGTTATGTCAACATCACGTCACAATACAATTTCTCTGACCATCGCCATGATAAGCGTTCAATTACATGGTATTACAACTGGATTTGAGATAACAACTTGTATTGGTTGATGAATTTTGCTTTTTTCCTTCAGGTAGGCATAATATTCATTGCTCAGAAGAATCAGTTGTAACATTGATAATAATAGATTTCAAAGTATTCGGGTATAGAGTATGACCAAGCGTCCTAGTGAAGTGCATCACTTGCAGGTGAGATACGTGGACGATGACTTGCTCATCTTGGAGCGCTTCTACCCTCGACGTCGCCAGTACCTCGTGGTGGCAAACCTGGGCCACAACGCAGTGACGCGGGACTTGTCCCACTACTACTACGGGGGTGAGGTCGTCGCTTCGTCCCACAACAACTCGGGCTACATCGAGTTCAGGAACCTGCAGCTCGAGCCCAGTGAAGTTCTTGTGTGCGTCCTGGACAAGTAATGCTATCACTCGTTGGTACCTTCAACACTCGGGGCAGTGCAGTGGATGTTTGAAGGAGTTGTGAAAGCTATGAAAATTTTGGTATGTCTCCTACAGCATGGTCGTGGTGTCTTTAAGATAATCTCCAGATACTAATTTATCCTAGTCGGGAGTGTCCTATCTGAGAAAGATGGTTTGAAGTCGTGTCAAGAGATGTGAGTTTTTAGGGCGTTAATTTTGTTAGGTTTCTGCAGTCGCCTCATAATCTTCATGGTGGTGTCTGCTTAACATGTCTAGTCAATTCTCAGTCGTTGATCACAATGTAGCGATCAATCGAACATTTTCCTAGTGTTTAGTTTGACAGAATAGAATTCAGCTCATCAAAGATGCTAGTCAATAGCGTGTGGGATTCGGCCATAGTTCCGTGAAAACGAAGTTGCCGTTTTTTATGTAGTTATGGGAGCTAGTCAGGTGCAGTTTGCTTTATTTTCCCTCCGAGTAAACCTTCGTTGACGAAGGTATTTAAGTTAAGATATAAGTTGAACTTATCGCCATTTGCCGATAAATACAAATAAAGGGTTTCACCCGGACTAATAAAACCTTTACGTCAAAGAAATAACGTTTATTTCTAAGTTTGAGGCAGTTTTTGCAGATCTGAAATAACATACGATATTTATAGCTACCTGGAATGTGATACTGTCAAGTCTTCAAACAAATGTAGACGATTTATTAATAGCAGCTCTTAGACCACTAATATAACATTAAGTGTAGATTTACTCGTTATTTGTTCAAAGTTGTTACTAACATTGTTTTCTTCACCCTTAATGCGGTTATTCTATCTAAAGAACAGATATGCGTACACATCCACCCTTCATTAGTCGTAATTAATCTCGACAGTAGGAGGGCATGTGTTCATTATTATCTAGTCTAATCGTTGCTAGTCATTAAACTTAAAATGCTATTGTAAACCCTTGAATTAACCAAGTATTAATTTGGCATGGATTCTCAAGACTCATAGCTTTTAATAAAAATTTAATGCAAGTTCACTTGTCAAATTACAAATTCGTGTGTGAAGGTGTTAGAAATTTCCATTGAAAAATTCGGCATGGAAATTTACAGGCTTCATTGCAGTCACAAATTATATTTTACTTCAGAAACCTAAGGTTATCGTCACTCGTGGTCAACTTCCTTACCGGAAATGTTAACAATTCGTATTAAATTTTGGATCGATTTTCGTCGATAATTTTTATTGATTTAGCCGTTTAGCGATTTAGCCGAGACCGTTTTGAATGTTAGTTTTTACTTGTTGATATGCTGAACAATTATTTCTGACGAATGCCAGTGTAATAAATCTTCTGCATTGCTAATGTTTACTACTACCCACTTGAGTAGGGAAATAAATTCTTGTAATTTGTCGCATATATTTGAGGATCAAAATAGAAACGGAGAAAAGAAGAGTTGGAAACGAATGTTGGTAAGTTTAACGGAAGGATTGCTCACAATCAAGAGCGGGAAATTTGAAAAAATGCCTGGAATTGTGGGAGACCGTTTCCTTAGGCAGCATCTGCCTATATTGACACAAGAACTTTGCATAGCTGAGCAAGACATTCACACGTAGGGTGCAGGTCTTGCAGCACCTCAGCTCGCTGCAGCAAGTGGCTCAAATACGTCGTCGCATTTGAAAGCGTCCTCAAAATGTGACTTTCATCCATGAAGATATACAGCATACGTGGTTGGACGATTCTAGCTTCACAATACGAATGGCGTGTGCTAGCCACAAGCCAATTGACATTCCTTTCAAGAGAATAAACTTCGACAAGCGTATATGGAATGCTGGTCCATTTCATGTTTCAAGGAGCAAATCACTAGATAGCACTGAGAAGCTTTACTTACGAGCGCGAATGAGTTGTGATATCGACAGACGTTAATACGTCCAATAAATCTTAAATCAGGGAGAAGTTAGAAAATAACAGTAAGTTGTACGAGACTCTTACATCTACCATACATAGAAAATGACACTCGTTTACTTTACATATTTTTCCATGAATCTTTTATGAAATTCTGATCTCAAGGAATCGTTTATGTAAGATTTCTGTGAACTGTCAGGCTCAGAAGCAGCACAATTCTTGAAGACGACGTCATCATCCCATCTTCTTTTGATCTTCATGTCAGATTTGGTGGGATTGAAGTGAAGCAAAGGGTTACCGCTGATGATGTTCTCCATGCGGATGCGTTCTTGGTTTTGATGGCGAATTTGTTGCTGTTTAGTTTCCTCTTCAATGCGTTCTTTCCGGATTTGTTCAAGCTCCGCCATGAGAGCCATTTCATCATCAGAATCAGAATCATCATCGGAATCAGAGTCTTGCGGATCATCCGCGTCAAGGTTAGCAGGGGCGATTTGATCGAGTCTGGGTTTTTTACTAGCGCCAGACGAGCTGGACGTGCCACCACTGCTGGACGTGACTTCGTTCCTTGACCGCGCGTTGCCGCGCTTCTCTGCCTGAGCAGCGCGCTCTCTGTCCTCCAGCTCGCGGCGCAGGTCGCGTCCACGCACCTCCTCAGCGGTGGTCTGGCCCGCCTCGCGGTACTTGAGGCGCGTGTGCGCAGGCAGGTCGCGTGATGAGTACTGCTTGCTTAGGGCGCTCAGGTCGCGCTCTCCTCGCCCCGACCCTCCCTTGGCGGGCTCGAATGTGGGGCGCGCCGCTGTCGTCATTTCGGACTAGAATGATGGTGTTTTCAGACGTAAATTTGTCACTAACAGAGCAGCAATATCAAATATAAACAAGATGACGTTAGCAAGTTAATTTAGCACCTCCTTGTTCACTCTTTATTTGCAGTATTGAAAGAACTGCAAAATTATAGTATTTTCAACGATGTGAAATTTAATTCAACTTTCTGAATGCTAGCTACTTGGTCTCTTAACACCTGTGGAAAGAAAGAAAACATTCAATGTCCACATATGAATAAGGAGGCCCACAAAGATGGGAAGTCAGAATACTAGGTATCATAAAATGCATTCATGCATAACCTTAACAAGTAACCTACAATAGATTAAGTGGTAACTCATAATAATATATTTTCATACAAGACATTGTGATGGAGTATCACCATAACACGTTTCAGCACAGATCATTCGTCAACATCGCACTGCCTTCTTATGGCTTGCCACTCTCTAATGCAGACATGCACACTTGTGTGCTCAATTTAATCACGCTCGAGCAACATAAATTAGTCACAACTGTTGAAAGATAAATTTTATAGCTTCAAGAGTAGAGCTTCGAGGTTATCCAATATTAAAAAACTATAATAGCACGTCTAGAAATAGGAAGATTAAGGTCCCATGAATGTCTAGAAGAAATGGTACGAATTAAAAACCCAGTCCTATGTTAAACTGAAGTTCAGCCCAGATCTGCTTTATGGAATTAATGCAAACCTGTTTAGGTAAGAAAGAATGGCCTAATAACAATTCGGTTCTTTAGTCTTCAATTGCAAAAACTTTTTGAGAACTTACATCTATGTATTTCTTTTATTTTTACAGTGCTATTTTTATCTTTACAAATAAATGACTACAATCTATCAATTTCAAATCATTGACAAATTGAATCGAGTCAGCATATTTGGGACTTTGATTATTGGTTGAATTAAAGAAATTAGAAAGCTCGCAAATGAGGTTTGGTGTTAAAATGTATTTAGATGCTTATAAGTTCATTTTACAGATGGAGCAACATTGAAAATGAATATATAAATGCAATTTTTGATTACTGCACTTGAAGCAATAATTTGAGAATGTTGCTACAGGGGAAGTGAGAATGTTGCTACAGAATCATGCTTTGAGATTCTGTTCACATGGCAAAAGAAATTTGACAGCTGAAAGTCAGCCGTCACTTGCACTGACAATGCCACACACATGAAGGGACCACAGGATCTAATGAGCTTAGAATGTCCTCACATGCTTTCCTGTGGTTGGAATTGAGGGATTGGTGGCCTCTGGATAGACTTTGGGAGCAATGGTCATATATTCAAAAAATAAGTCAGTACAACTATCAGAAGGCTATGATATTTCTAATTAGAAAGATAAGTTTTTCTGAAGACATTTCAAGAGCATATATTACTATTATCCTTAGGATCTAAAGAGGCTAAGATACATACTAAATTTAAATTGACATAAAGGCTAAAACAGCAATTTGCTATATAACCATAGGGTGCTCTAAATTACAGCCACAGTTGCATACTTTGGAAAATAGAAAATCACACCAATCCACCAGCTCTCCCATAGTCTCATACCCATGACATAACTCCCACTCCATCTCATTCCTTATCACCATCATAACCCATATGTCTCTCACACCTCATATTCCAATCTCAGGTTCTTCAGTTTCCTTCACACCTCATTATACATACAAAATTCATCCTCTCCTTTCAATCACTCAACATCATGTATTTCCATTCACACCCAGAACCCTACTTCTCACAACAGTTTAAATAATTCTGGTTGGTAAGAAAACTCTGTGAATGTTTAGGAATTGGATCAAAGAAGTGTGGCATTCTGTCACATGATTTTGGCAACAGTATCATATATTTAAGGCACTGTAATTTAATAAAAAGTGATAAAATTTTCAAGGCATGCACAATATATTATGATTAAATAAAATAAAAAGTTATAACAAAGAAAGCAGATGCTCTGCAACTTTTTTCTTTGAGTAATTTTTGTCCACCCAATGAAACAAAGCAGCACAAGCCACACTGGTAAATTGGGCAGAAGCCACTTGTGAATGAGACAAAAACATCCATGCTCACAGGCAACTTTACTCATTTATACAGCTCTTGCCAGCTTTCTCTGGTATAAATTAGGAAAAACAGTTCATTTTTGCCACAAAATTTATGAAAATTTTACAAAACATTCCAGACAGCAGGGTTGGCAATGATTAAATCAAAATGATTAAATCATGTGATTAAATCACTTGATATTTTTATAAAAAAATCATGATTTTTTTGATTTTTTCGATTTTTTTGATTTTTTCATATAATTAAAAGTATTGAATGGCAGTCTTTAATTTATATTGAGATATTGTTATTCATAGTTTATTATAAATGTACTATGAATGACAAATTGGTATATAAACTTGTTGCCTTTAGTGTGTATTAGGTTCCAATAAATTGAATGTTTTTGGTACAGAGGCATCAAGTGTGCAGTACATTGCACATAGCTAGCAGCTTAGCTAATTCTTATAAGGCTATAAGTAGTCTAACAATTTGACTAGTTGTTATATATATATTGATTACAATATACAATTTAAATGTGTTAGCTAGCTTATACAGGGTGGGGCAGAACTGATTGAACAGTTTTGGGTCGAAATAAAAGAGTAATGGAGGTACATAAAGAAGAAAGTTTATTTTCCTCAACATTAGCATAACATACCATTTAAAATACTTATGTTTTGAAAACAATATCAGGAAAATGAGGTTTGTTAGCTGCATCACACTGTTGGAGTCGTTCTTGGAAGTTTCCTACAGCACGTTCACACATATGGCGAGGTATGGCCATAACCTCTGCTGCAATAATCTGTTCCCTTAGCTGTGGTAGGGTGTGAGGGTGACTTCTGAACACCCTTTCTTTTAGATGTCCCCAAAGAAAGAAATCGCAAATGCTCAAATCAGGTGACCTTGCAGGCCACTGTAAATCACCCCTCAGAGACACCAGACCTACGGGAAACATGCGTTTCAAAACATTGAGTGACATTCAAGCTGTGTGAGCTGTAGCCCCATCCTGCTGGAACCACACGCCTCTCAATGCTTTATTTCAACAATGTTTTCCATCATGGGCTGCAAGAAATTTTGCAACATTGCAGCATAGCAATCGGAATTCACTGTCATGGTTACCCCCTCCTCTGAGAACGACTCCAACAGTGTGTTGCAGCTAACAGCCCCATCTTCCAGATATTGTTTTCTAAAACATAAGTATTCTAAATGGTATGTTATGCTAACCTCTAGGAAAATAAACTTTCTTCTTTATGTACCTCCATTACTCTTTTATTTTACCTCAAAACTGCTCAATCGGTTCTGCTCCACCCTGTATATTGAGAGGTTGAGTTTGTATTGGCCTTTTAGGCAATTAGAAAGATTTTCCACCCTAATAAGAGTATTCTAATGAAAATATTTAATTTCAATCTTTAAATATGTGAATTTAAAACTAGAAACAAAACAATTACAATTTACAATTATAAAAATTCATATAAAATAATTAAATGCAGTGAATAGATATAAAATATTTGAATTGTGCACATGTTTATTTCAAACAGTGTTAGCTTTTCTCATAACTTAAGTCTCGTTTCAAGTCATATGAGGTTTGTTTGGTTATCGTTCAGTTTATGACTTTATGTTTAGTATTGGTTTGTTGGTCTGAATTAAATGGGATCAGTGCAGTCAGTCACTCAGTCACTATACTAAGTAGTGAGTGTGTATAAAGGGTAGAGTCTGGTAGATTTATAGGNTGGTAGATTTATAGGACATAAAACTAGTAGATCTATTGATAGTGCTGTGCACTGTGCTATCAGCAACCTATCTGTTATGTGACTCTTCAATGTTTAGAAGATCTGTATTCCTGAAGTGTTTTTGTATATTGAAGCCAGTTAAATGGTCAATATTTAGCTCATTACCTTGCTCCATGCAAACTTTACAAAGCTAAGGAATAGACTTATCAATAATTGTTTACCCGAAAATCCCTAAGTGGTAAACACCACCTTGGCCTGTTGGCCATTATTGGAGGCAATAAGTGCCCTTTTTAGCCATCCTTTATGATCCATATGCTGTAATTGTTAGTAGGCTAATTGCAACATAAAAATAACACCTCAAAAAGACAAAAAAGCTGAAAAAATCAAAAAAATCAAATAAATCAAAAAATCATGAAAAAATCAAATAAATCATTGATTTTTGATTTTTTTGATTTTTTTAAAAAAATCAAAAAAATCGCCAACCCTGCCAGACAGTAAATAACAACAAAGCATGTGAACAAAAGAAACTTGAAACAATAAATAAGATAGTGTTGGTATAATTCAAGATTTCTTCAAACAATAAACAAGATAGTGTTGGATTGTTGGTACAATTTAAGATTCCCTCAAACAGAAAACAAGATAGTGTTGGTACAATTTGAGATTCCTTTAAACAATAAACAAGACTGTGTGGGGGCCATCAAACAGGGTAAAAAGGGACAATTTTGTGGATTTTTCATTAATAACTTCTTACCATGCAATATTTAATAAATGAATTTGGGCTCGTTTCTTTGCAAGGGCTATCATGCGGCATCTCCAAAAAATCACCTATGCTATTTGCAAGGTGCCAGAAACAAAAGAAAAGTGTCCCAAATTACCACTGGAATTTGGGAAACTTGAAATAAAACTCAATTTTTAAACATCTGAAGCATGCAGAGTGTACTATAATCTATTACAAACAGTACTCCAAAGTCCCCTCTTCCTTTGTAGATGATGTATATAAATGTAGAATAAATAACATTTTCTGTGATTTGTTCTTGTTTTTCCTTTATTGATATTACCATCAAAAGGGGTAAAAAGGGACGGTTTTGAGCGTTTTTTGCAGGGTTGGTGATTTTTTTGATTTTTCTTAAATCAAAAAAATAAAAAATCAATGATTTTTTTAATTTTTTTTCATGATTTTTTTATTTATTTAATTTTTTTCATTTTTTCAGCTTTTTTGTCTTTTTGAAGTGTTATTTTTTATGTTGCAATTAGCCTACGAACAATAACAGTATATGGATCATAATGGATGCCTAAAAAGGGCACTTATTGCCTTCAATAATGGCCAACAGGCCAAGGTGGTGTTTACCACTTTGGGATTTTTGGGTAAACAATTATTGATGAGTCTATTCATTAGCTTTGTAAAGTTTGTATGGAGCAAGGTAATGAGCTA